ATGACTGTTGCTCAAGATGCAGCTAACTGGAGCATCAAGCTTTGGGGATGGTATTGATAGCACACCGGCATTCCCAAAACTCAGAATATTCACTTATCAGAAGTTCTGGATACCCTAAAGGAGTCTCGACCCAAGTCTTGTGAATCAGACCCAGGCCCTTCCTTCTTGTGAAAGAAAGTCATGAACAACAGGTGTCATTCCTGACTGAAACAGCCAATGCCTCATTCAGAGAAGGAATCTTCTCTTCCTCCTTCAGACACATAATAGTATGCCCAATACTGAAGAAACCTACCGAGATATTTTGGTCTAGCCAACTACCCTGTGTCAAACCTCCCATTTCTGAGCAAGCTCATACAGAAGCTAGCAGAAAGGCGAACTACAAGTTCATCTAACTGAAACTAACTTTCTAGACCTGGCTCAGCCAGGATTTGGGCCAGGACGTGAAAGCAAAATCGCCTTAATTTTGAGGTATTTATATTTGCCTTATGGGTTTTGAGCCTTTTGAGTTCACTCAAGTTACATTTTCAAGCTTTTCTTCACAACTATAAGGGCTAGAAACTTGTCTTTAAAAAAAAATCTGAGATTTTCATGTAACCACTTGACTCCAAGAGATGAAACAGCAAATATCACAAAACTCTATAAAATTGCAAGAACTGGCACATAGGTAAATCAAAGGACATGTGTAAGTATTTGCAGGATCAGTGCCTTAGATTACAAGGTCCTTAGGGTAAGGACTACTGTGCCTTTTATTTGTCTGTAAAGTACCAAGCACGGTTTGGCCTCTATTGAGCAAACCATCCTTATTCAGCAAAGCACGGAAGTCTCATTAATTCGAAAGGGCCTCAAGCACATGATTAAAATTAAACATGTGCTTATATATTTGCTCAATAGGGCTGGACTTAGGCAACTTTGGTGACCAACACTGAATATTTATGCTTTGTATACATAAGTAGATAACGGTCTTAAAATAAAAATGATCTTAGACCCTGACCTGGGCAATACAATGAAAGTGATGCAGAGAAAACAATTCTCTAAAGTTTCTATTAGCCATGATTAGTTTTAAGTAGTATTTCTCATTAACTGTCTTATTAAAAAATCCAAACAAAATCCACTAGGTTGTGAGCACTATGTACTTCTAACTTGCAGGGAATGACCAAGTCAGTGAACTCATGCATGTCTTGTAAAATAAGACCCTCTGTAAACAGATGGTGCCATCTAATTCAATATGGGTTGTTTTTCATATTTTTAAAAGGGACATTGAAAAGATTTTAATTTACATTTTGTTATTATCTGCTTCGGGTGGGGTATGCCGTTGGTTATTGTTGTTGTTTGTTTTTGAAGTTTAGTACTCCAGCACAGGACATTTTAAAACATTTTTAAATACTTACAAACAGAAAACAGAATTTTTTTTTTTGCTTTTACAAATGACAGAAGATAGATGAAGTCCAAGAACCAGAAAAATGGGAAGAAAACAAAAAGTACATTTCTCACAATCATGATACAGCAACTCTAAAAAATATGCTAAATTAATGACACATCTATACAAGATGACTAAGAATTAAAACAACCATTCTCTTCTATTAAGACCGAATTATCCTTAATTTCATAGCACCACAAAAATACATAATTTCAATCCCCTTATGCTAGCTTTCCAAGAGTTTTTAACTGACCACAGCTGTTTCTACAGTGCACATTATTTCATAAATACTAGTACTTAATTTAAGGGCTTGTCCACATGGAGATTTACCGCATGGCAAGCCAGGGTATAAACCTACCACACACTAGTCTGCTGTGCACTTAGTCTCTGTGTGGACCCTGCTGCCACTAAAAGTTTGATAGTGCACTGGTATGGAACATTTATTGTACAGTAGCAGGGTCCAGAGAGAGACTTAGCATGCAGCAGGCTAATGCACTGTAGATTCATGTCCCAGTTTGCCACGCACTAAGTTTCCATGCGGACAAGCTCTTAGACAGTTTGACATGACAAAATGCTTTGTAGAGAGACAAGATGGGTGAGGTAATATGTTTTGTTGGAACAACTTCTATTGGTGAGAAAGACAAGCTTTCAAGCTTACACAGAGCTCTTCTTCAGGAAAGATAATGGGAGCATCACAGTTAAATACAAAGTGGACTGATGACAGACATCCAACACAACAACAAAAAGTGGAACCAACTACAACAACTCCACAAACCACAGAACACCACCTCTAGGAGAAACCATGGCACCAGGACCCACCACATGGTCACTACACAACATCCCAACATCATCAATTTTTCAAGACTGTCCTCAACCAGAGCTGAAGTATCTGTACTCTCCAAAAGACTGAATTTCTGCCTCACCACAGAACCTGATCATACTAGCATATTAACATGTGGAGAATTAGAAGAATTCTTCTATCAACTCCACCTCAAAGAATTCCTTCATAGTGAAGACACCACTCACAATTACCACATCCCCAGACAGTCATATGAAAAACAAATCATCTGTCTGAACACCCCACAGCAGATGAAACCACAGTCTTGATCATTACATTAATTACTTCAGAAAAACAAATGATTGTGAAATACTTAACATCACATGCATCATAATCTCTCCACCGTTGAGAGGACAGCTGAGAGGACAGTCCCTGAAACCCAGCCACCAAGTAGTGATCGATGGCACCCTGTTTGTCTGCTGGTTTGTAGTCCTCACATGGGATTACTATATTAACAAGGCCAACCAACAACTCTCTGACACCTCCTACTATAAAGAACTCAAAGAACATCCTTCAACACAATTTATGCAGGAATTTCAGAATATCATCAAATCCTTCCCCAAACAACTCCAAGAGAAACTCTACAACCTCATCCCCATGAAACCACCCCAGAGACTTCCCAAGATACACAAACAAGGGAACCCAGGCAGACCCATCATATATGGTCACAGCACTCTTATTGAAGGAATATCAGGACTCATAGAAACCATTCTCAAACAACTAACCACACAAAGGGCCAGCTTCCTCCAGGACACAACCGACTTCCTCCAGAAACTGCAACATTAACGCCTCCCTCAGAACACCATCCTTACCACCATGGATGCCACCTCCCTAAACACCAACATCCCTCACAATGACGGCATCCCTGCCTGCCTCAAATATTTACAAGCTAATGGACAACACTCCGATATCCATCTCAAACACATCATCAAACTCATCTATTTCATCCTCATCCATAATAATTTTACATTCAACAACAAACTCTTTGTCAAAGCCATGGGTACTAGAATCGCTCCCCAATATGCCAACTTCTTCATGGGTCATCTTGAAGAAGAATTTCTGGATAAATGCACCAGAAAACCAATGATATACCTGAGATACATCAATGATATTTTCATCCTTTGGAGAAACGACCTAACCCCACACAGATTTCCACCATAACCTCAACAACCACCATCCATCCATTAAACTCTCTCTAGAACACTCCCACACTATCATCAGCTTCCTGGACACCATAGTGAGTTTCAACAATGGAACCCTACAGACATCTCTATACAGGAAACCCACAGATCACCAAAACTACATTCACACATTCAGTAATCACTCCAAACACACCAAGAAATCTGTTATCTACAGCCAGGCGCTCAGATACCACAGAGGAGAAAGTCCGGGATATACACCTTAAAACACTTTAAACCAACTTCACCAAACAAGGACACTCCATCATAGAAGTAGATTGCATCATGGGATGGACTACCCAAACACCCTCAGAAAATCTGCTTTAACACAGAAATAAAACCCTCTCTGATCACACACCTCTAATTGTCACCTGACACCCCACATTGGAACCCATATGGGGTATCATTACATAACTATAACCCATACTTGATGGGGGCCACATCCTGAAAGAAATCTTTCCTGAACTCTCTTTTCTGCCTTCACACAATCCCCCAACCTCTTCAATCTCATCATCAGAAGCAAGCTTCCCATAGACCAGTACACACCAACTCACAGCGTCACCAAACCCTGGAAGAACAACAAATGCAAAACTTGCAGACATATCTCCACTGCTACAATGACCAACACCCCATACAAAAAACCTTGCAAAACTGGATCCTACAGATGCCTATCACAACATGTAGTCTACCTCATCCAGTACACTACATGCCCCAATAACAACAACTACGTGGGTAAAACAAGACTATCACTACACTGTCAAATGAACTCACACAGGAAAATGACAAAAGACAAAAAAAAGTATCACCTGTCGGTGAACACTTTTCACTGAACTCTCTCTACCTCTGACCTCTCAGTCCTTGTCCTCAAAGGAAACCAGCACAACACCTTCAAAAGATGAGCTTGGGAGCATAACATTTTTACTTTGCAAGATACTAAACATCATGGACTAAATAGAGATACTGGATTTATGGCTTATTACAACAATCTATAACCCACTTAATCGCCCTCCAACATTATTTTTCCTTTCTCCCCTATGACTGGAGAGATGTTAACAGGCCACTTCACCTTGCAAAGTCTTCTGAAATGTGTGTTAACTACTTATGGTAAACAATCTGTTCCACCTTGTATTTAGCTGTGACACTCTGAGTTCATTTCCCAGACCTGAAGAAGAGCCCCAGTGAGCTCAGAAGCTTGTCTCTTTCACCAACAGAAGTTGGTCCAATAAAAGATATTACCTCACCTGCCTAATTTCACTAATATCCTGGGACCAACACAGCTACAACACTGGATGCAAAAATGCTTTGTAGAAAGTAGCTGATGAACAAAAGAAACCATGTTAATTCAGCTTCTTTATAATCTTAAAGGGAAATAATCTTTTTCAAATTAAAAAGACAAATTTGGTGGGGAAATATGTTTCTGTTCCTTCAGTGGGTATTGGATAAGGCCCTAAGTGAGTAAAGCAGATCGCCAGCATAGTGAATATGCAGGTTTTATTTGAGTGGGAAGATAATCTAATGATTAAGACTCTGGATTTAGGAAATCTAGATTTAACTCCTAATTCTGCCACAGACGTCCTCTGTATGACCAAGTCATATTGCACTGTATCTCAGTTTTTCATCTGTAAAAGAGGATACTACTACTTCCTCTCTTCTGTCCTCTGTCTGTATTGTCTATTTAGATTGTAAGCTCTTTAGGGCAGGGATTGTCTATTAGGATTGTTTAGTATTTGCATAGTGCCTAGCACAAGAGCCATGGTCTCAACTGTGGCCTTTAGGCACACGTATAATATAAATAATAGTAATGTCACAAGATTATTTGCAAATGCGGTTGATATACAAACGGCTATAGCATGTGGACTATATTACATACCTGGATGAACAGCTATATTAAGTATTACACACTGAGAGCACATTATGGCTATGGTTTATCATTTGCTCTGCCTGCCTATTAGTTTCTAGGTAGAATTGAAGTTGTTGGGTTTGATCTCCTAAGGCCTAAATAATTTGGGACCTACCTACATAAGAGACTGCCTGTCTCCCTGGGAGCTACTTCCACAGAGATCAGTGGAAGCACTTGAGCTATCAGTTCCTGTCTTAGAAGAATAGCGTAGGACCATTTACAAACAGAGAGGGGTCTTTCTCCATGGTGTTCCAAGGCCTGGTTGATTGCCATGGTAGATTCACAAACAAATGCAGGGTTGTGTGGAGGATCCATGATGCTAAGATCTTTCACAACTCAGTTCTATGTACTTTAATGAATAAAGGAGACTTTGCCCCCATGATCACTATGGACATTAATAGTGTGGAGATTACTCCGGTTATCCTGAAACACTCATAATTTGCTTTTCTAGCTAATTAAGCAATTCACAGGGTACTTGAACAGAAGGAAGAAACTGTTTAAGTCAGTGGCCTCAATAGTTGCAGAATGACAGTGGAGCATGCATTTGGCCTCAAAATATACAGCTATACATCCACATCTTATCCCAGGAAGGAGGGATGGAGAATGGATTGTGAGCATTGCAGTCTCTTTTACGGGGTGGTAGAACTGGCACATTGTGGCATTCCTTATTTTATCTTGTGATTGTAAAATCCTATAACTTATGCAAAATTTATTCATTTATTTATGAATATATACCATTCATCGCAGATTCTTTATGAATGAATTTAATGGTTTTGTTATTAAATAACAATAACAACTACAAATAAACCTTTATTTAAAACAACAATGAAACACTGCAGTGGAGGGCACAACAAAACAATTTGGGTCGGGGGAGGTCTCCAGTTCACAGGTGAGAATATGCCTTGCCTCTGCATCTTCTTGTTCTTCTCTCTTCTGGTGTTGAGTGTTGGAGCTTGAAAGAGCTGGGCTTGCAGGTGCAATTGTTCTCGCTGCCCCGAACTTGGGCCAGAGAGTGGACTGGCATCTGGGAGGATGGCTACAGGGGGACAGAGGGAAACACATGCTGCTGTTCCCAGTACTCTGTAGAGTCCAGGGGCTGCAGAACATGGCAATGCCCTGGTTGAGGGCACTACTTTGTCTGCAGCAAAGCATTCTGCATCTTTTTGCCTCCACGGGTTGCTTTGCATGTCCCTGTCTTTCTCTACAGTGTCTTTTGCCATGGCAATGCTGTCTCTGGCTACTTCAACACTCTCTCTGGAGAGCTTCCTGTCTTTTTCCCTCTGAGACCCCAAATACAACCTCCAGCTCTCTCTGATGTTTTCAATTGGGGGGGGGAGGGGGCGTGCTTCGGCAATGTGGTCTGCAAACATTTCATCCTGACTTCTCCCTTTCTTCCTCTTCAAGTTAGCCAGCCATTCAACTGTTGATGAAGACTGTGTCCTTAAGGGTCTGGCTGCTGCAGGTGCCATGGTTAGGAGAATAGGGGGAAAAACCAAGCAGTTATTGTTCATATTCCAGAGAGGCTAGGAGAGAATTTTTAAACATGTATTTCTCATTTTCCCTCCCTGAGATTCTGTCCAGACTTAAAGGGACCTCAGAGATGATCAGTGGCATGTGCATGGGGGCTCGATTGGGAATTTATAGATGTGCAATATATGCTGTGTGGATTTGCAGTTGTGCCTTACAGGCTCCAGATGGTTGGGAATTATATTCCCAGTTTGGCTTTGCAATTTAGGCGGTGCCTTGGAGATGATTTTATGGCATCAGAGGGGCTAATAAGGGCCATCTGGAAGAGAGCGGGAGAGTAATCCCCTCTATCTCCTTTTTATGCTGCCCTGGCTCTCAATAATGTTACAGTGAAGCAGGTGACAAGGAGACAGAGAATAGTATTATTCCAAAAGGCAGAGGGCAAACCAGTGAGATATGCTGTGAAGTTATTCACCAAGACGGTCCCCCCAGAAGAGCTGCAGGAGTAGAAGGTAGTTGTGTGCTGTGCCAGAAGCAATGAGTGCAGCTATCCCACAGAATGTTTGGACCAAACCTCGGCTATTTCTTAGTCTTAGACATGCAGACATGCTGAAAGTCCACAGAAAAACAAATAAGGCTTCAGACAATCAGTGCAGAACCATAACTGCTCCCATTCTTTTTCTATGTGAACCCATTAAAAGCCATTAAGAGCTGCATGGCTATGCTATCCCTAAGGTAAACTTCTTATCCTATATGAATGCATCTTACAGGACATGTATACATCAGCAGGGAGCTGTAGTCTTTGTACCTTTATGGGCATGCAATGCCCATATCTACCTCATGTAAACTGAAAACACTAACCAAACTTTTTTTCCCTGTAACCACTGTCTCCATAACCTGTTGAATTTCATGCACAACTGAATGTTTTCATTATCTGGATATGCTGCATGAGGGGAGATGAAGAGTGGTGGGGCAGAGGTTACAGCTGTGTCTTGCTGCTGGCTATTATTTTGAGCAGGCAGCTTTGTTTTGTTTGGGGAGGCGGGGGCATGCATTCACTGAGCAGGACAGATGCAGGGAGAGAAAAGGAAACTAGGTAGATTGGTATGTGCCTTCAGTGCCATGGGCTTGGAAACAGTTGATGGTTGGGCTTTTAGCAGGAGACAGAAGCAGACTGCCCGGCCAATCCAGCCACCATTTTGAAAACATGTACATGGGGGCCAAACAAATGAATGAGGACAGAACAGGCTGAGGGACGAAGGCAGGTGCTGCAGATTTGTAAAGGCTCCTAGCTCACATCTGCGGAACAGACGTTAGCACAGCAGTATAGTATAATAATAAATTGTAAAGACAGAAACTTACATTCTGATTTTCCCTTGCCAGGATCTGCCTCCTCACTCTCAGGCTGGGTTTCTGACTGGGAATCAGGCTGGCTTCCTACCTGGCTACCCTTGGGGTCCTGAGTCCTGAAGAGATCCTGGCTTTCCAGGGAGAGCTCTTCACTGCCCAGCTCATGTTCCTCCTCTGGCAATTTTTGCTACTTATCTGCAGGAGAGGTCTACAGGGGGCGGTCCACAGGGTCCACAACCTCCTTGGGTTTATAGTGGTGTAATTATTTAATATTCTGGGCAGCACCTCAAAAAATGGAAAGGTTATATTTCCATGGCCAGACTGTTTCCTGGCAACCCAGGTTTTAGTGTAAGTTCTCCTGAGATGTTTTCCCTTTATCTAGCACTGGATGGTGTTCTGCCCCCTGGCAACCCCTCGCAGACATCGGACTACCAATGTCCAAAAACACATCTTTATTGTGGTGGCTGTCTTGCTGCAATGCTGCTTCTCCCAGATGGCAAGGAGATCTAGGGTTTCAGCACGGCTCCAAGCGGCTGCCAGAGCCATGTTGTGAAGGCTGCTGTAGTTCCAATATATTGGAATCCAGGAGCAAATGGTCCAATTCTGGCTCTTTGCCAGATTTTAAAAGGGGAGGGGACATCTGGTCAACTTGACCCCAGAGCAGTGGAGGACACACAGGTAAACAGGTCAGTAACACGCTCGCAAAGCAATATGAGGTTGCAGTTGGAGGACTGCCAGATTAGTGCATGGCAGCATTGCATGCACAATGAACTAGACTGCACTAGCTCAATTAGCATGAAACGTAGTGCACTTTGAAATCAGACTCCAGAGTTCGCAATAAATACAGACTTAATGCACTCAAAGGGATTGTGTTGTGTGTACTCAGGCATTTTTTTTCAAACCAGACAAATGCCTTTTCTGCACTACCGTTTTGTCAGCAAAAGGCAGCCTTTGTCGACAAAACAGTGGAGGTGTATACACAATGCTCCTCCCGCCGGCAAAACTCCTGCTTTGCCAACAAAATAAACCCACCTTGACAAGTATCAGAAGGGTAGCCATGTTGGTCTGTATCCACAAAAACAATGAGGAGTCCGGTGGCACCTTAAAGACTAACAGATTTATTTGTGCATAAGCCATCTGAAGAAGTGGGTTTTTCACCCATGAAAGCTTATGCCCAAATAAATCTGTTAGTCTTTAAGGTGCCACCGGACTCCATCTTGACAAGAGGCATAGAGCTTTTTGCAGCAAAGTTAGATCGACAAAGCATCAGTATAGACACTGCATTCGTTACCCCGCGATAACTGGCCTCCAGGGATATCCCACAATGCTCACCATGACCGCTCTGCTCACTGTTTTGAACTCCCCATGCTTTGTATCCAGCTATGCTGGTATGCGCCTGTACCCTTTCAAAGACCAAGGAAGCTTTGCAGCTGCTCAGCGTAGAGAGCTCAAACAGCTACTGCCCAGCTGAGGATTCTGGCTCCTGGCAGCAAACGCATTCCTGCTTGGCCCTCAGGCAAGGGGGTGGATCTCCTGGATCTGTGGGGAAAGGAGGCTGTGGGAGAACTCAGAGGGAATCACGGAATCAAAACATTAATGAGGAATCCTGTTCTCCGCAGCAATATGATCGCAGTGGCAGGCAGGCAGGGCAGACTGCTGCTGGGGGCAGAGGGAGGCAAGAGAAGAGACTTGTGCTGTGGTGCTATGCGAAGCCAGGGAGGGAGGCGGAGGCTGATGTCGGGGTGCCCTCCTCCCCTGCCAGTGTACTGGTCTCTGCTGAGCTGGGGTGGGGGGAGAGGGGGACACCAGCTGTCTGTGCCCAAATTCTGCCTCAGGATTGGTTGTTTCTGACTGCTGTCTGAACTTAAAGAGACAGCATGCTGACACACTCACTCTCCCCCAACACACACACTTCCCCAACTAGGGTGACCGGATACCAAGTGTGAAAAATCAGGAGGGGGTAGGGGGTAGTAGGTGCCTATATAAGCAAACGCCCCAAATATCGGGACTGTCCCTATAAAATCTGGACATCTGGTCACTCTATTCCCAACACATACACTGTGTCTCTCTCATATACACACTCCCCCCACACACGCTCTGTCTCTCTTTCATACACACACACACACACACACACACACACACACACACACTATCACACACTCTATCACACACTCTTCCCCCCCACACACACACACACACACACACACCCTATCACACACTCTATCACACACTCTTCCCCCCCACACACACACACACTTCTGTGGG